GGGAGGGAGGGTGAAGGAGATTAAGGGGCACTATAATTTGCAATCCCAATATTGGTAGGTCACAGGGAAGGTGTATAGCACAGAGAAGACAAGTAATGACTCTATAGCATCTTACTATGCTGATGGACAGTGATTGCAATGGGGTGCGGTGGGGGAGTTGATAATATGGGTAAATGCTGAAACCACAATGTTGCTCATGTGAAATCTTCATAAGACTGTATATCAATGATACCTTAATAATAATTAAAAAAAAGAGAGACCCCTGGAGGGACATAGCCTTCCTACAAAATGAATGAATGAATGAATGAATGAACGAACGAACGAATGAATGAAATGACCCAGAGTTACCAAAGTTCAAATTCTTCAGTAAACCCAATTTAAGGGAGCAGGGATCTATAGAAACCATTATAGATAATTAAAATGAGGGGTTATTAAAGCCTTTATTATTTGGAAAGCTACCTTACATTCCACTCTACTCGGTAGTGATACAACCCTGCTATGCATGACAATACCTCAGAGTTTTTAGAATAGAAGCTTCAATTTAAATAGGTCTGGGGTGGGCTGGATCTTCTTTCATCCTTGGTCTTCCCTACATCATCATTCTGAGAGAGTGTGGAACCAATTCTCCTGCCAGAAGAGAAACCAGGCTGTCGCCATCCAGGCACACAGCCATTTGCCTCTGCACTGGCCTTGAGCTTTAAGTCCGGGACAGCGGCAGTGGTCTTGGCATTAACCTCACCTAACTCACCCCTACTGTCCTGAGCCTTATGGGTGTGGCTAGAGGGATTCCTGTGGCAGCTGTTGTTCCCTCATTTCTTCCTGCATCTTTTTAATTCATTACTTTAAATTAAATGTAAATTTAGTAGGCCTTTAATTTTGTCAGAAGTATACATGCACATAGTTTAAACAGCCATGCAGTTGTCACTAATTCCCCCTCTCCAGAAGCAGATACATTCAACCCCTCTAGATGAGATGTTTCCTTTCTTAGTATTTATATTCATATTTCTAAGTAATATGGTTATATTAGATAGATTTTCTTTTTTAAGTCTTACCTATTAAAGCCCCATATGAAGGATGAGAATTTTGCTATTTTTATCCTTCCCACAGTCAGGACTCCTGTAGTTGCTTGGCACCTGGGGTCTAATTGCTTCTTCATCCACCTTTCTGATGCTTCTCTTTTATCCCTGCTTCACTTCAACTTCCAGCGGCCCCCACTGCCACCAGGTACTGAGCTGGGTCAGGGGGGTGGGGGTGTGTGCCTGCAGTGCCGGTCAGGCTGCTTGCCAGGCCCACCCTGCCAGCTCCAAAGCCAGCTCTCCCAGAGTCCCCTAAGTCAATTACCACTTGCACAACTATTTTTCAGTTTCCAAAATTTTGTTGCTCCCATTCTTTGTCCTTATGGGTTTATGCCTTTAAAAAACCAAAACAAACCCTAACTGTCATTTTAATGAGGCTCAGAAGGGAGTGAGATTAAATGCATGGGTTAATTCACCACTCTTTTATGTCATTGATTTCTCTTTTCCTCCCCTGAGAATAAATTATTTTCCATTTAAATTCACTTGATGAAAACACTGAACTCACTGAAGCACAGCACTTTGGATTTCTTTCTAGATCATCTTCCCACCCTTTATGAAGCAGACTGATTCAGTGACTAATAAGGAAATTAAAATTCAAAGAGAAGATGCCATTTCTGGTCATTGAAAGAGAGAAAGTGATAGAGAGTACCAAGTGGAAAAGACTTTTCCCCTGAAGGAATCTGGTGAATCTTTTATCAACATCTACAGACTTTTTTAAAAAGCACTTTAATGAACTTTGATGTTGCTTCACCCTCTGCAGAGTCCTGTTCAGCCCTCTGTGTGGCTTACCAATCACCTAATTTGCTGTTTCTGGGAAGAACGAGCATTTGTTAGATTTAGGAGACCGTGAGTGCCCGTACATACTGTGCTCATTAGCGTATACATACCCACTCCAGAGCCATGTGTTTATTACTTACCCAGCTTCTCGCCTCATGTCCGTCCAGGCTCCTCACCCCACATCCACTGCCCTGTCCTTTGCCCCTCTCACTTCCCTGCTCCCAAGCTGGCTCTCCTGGGGCACCATGTTCTTGTGGGCTTCCGACCCTCAGCACTGCCATGTTCTCTTCTTCACAGAGCAGGTGCCCCAGGCTGCTCCACCTGCCCGGCACCTGGTTGTTCCCACTGCCCCCACCGTCTGCAGGTTCCCAGCCTGCCCAGGCTGGGGGTCTTCACTTCTCAGTATCCCTCCCCTCCTCACCCCTCCTCTCCATAACAACATCAGTGCATACACATTTCCATCTCCAAAACGGTCAGTTACACAGGCAGGAGTCAGAACCTGCCCACACTGGGTGTGCTTATGGATGTGGGACCAGGGCTGGCAGTGTACTTCCTTATTTTCACTTAATTGTTTAAACGAAGGTTTATCTACTAAGAATATAAATCTGTGTTTAAAAGTTTGAAATACTTCTAAAATAATCCTCTCTTGCCACACTTTGCTGACCTATATCTTCATTTTGTCATTGCAAAAGTTCCACAAGCAGAATAACAAATATATATCAAAAGTAAAATCTTATGCAAATGTTTTGAGCCCATACAAATTAGCAATTCTTCATATGACTGTGTCTATATGAAGTCATACGACTAATGACTATATGTCCTTATGATAACTGGAAACATGAAAAACAAAAAATCAAGGGACACTAAAATAAGCACCTGGGATAACAGAAGGGCTGTGTAGGGGTCCAGAGTAATGGCTAAACCCCGGTAATTGGAATGTGCTTGTAAAAATCTTTAAACCCAGAGCAACGCAAACCATCATAGGGTGGTTAGCCTCCCCACCCAAGGAAAATCCTTAATAAACAAGACTCTTCAGCTCTGTCAACACAAGCAAATACATCCCTTAAACCGAGATCAAACAGAACAACATAAAGCTGCATTATGCTAGAATTGATCAAGTTCCCTAAGCCAATGAAGTTGCAAAGAATTGACAATCACTCAAGTTGTTAAATTAATAAACAGTTCCTTTTTTTTTTTGATCAATGTAGTTTCAAATTCTAATAGCCCATGATTCTCATAGCAGTACAGTGTTTAATAGAACAGAATACTAATGCTCAGTCACATTTAGGCCGCTACTATTTGAGCAACCACTCTGCAGAACGTTTAGAACCGGCATCTGGGTAAAGCACAGAGAGTAACTCAGCACACAGACCTGGTGCACAGGAGGCTACTGTCCTGTGTGGAAGATGGGATCTACCAGTGAGGTAACAGAGAAAGCTCTACCAGCTGGACCAAACGCATGGTTGGGTAACATAAACCCTGGAATCATAAAAGGTCTCCTGGAAGACCGTTGAGACAAGAAGAAGAAAAGTACGGATTGGAAGGGAGGAGGGAAGAAGTCTCCCCAGAGGGCTAGCTGGTGAAAATCCGACTAAGCAGAAGCACCACGGAACTGGGAAGGGCGGCTCAGAGGCCAGGCTGGGTGGGCACCACCACTCTTCCGTTCCTCACTGCTCCCAGCAGCCTCCAGTCAGGTTCTGCTCACTGAAAGTCTCTGCATACAGCTATTAGGATCATCACCCCAAAGCTCTCTCTCCCATTCTGCTCAAAATGAGTGGCTCTCTACTGCCTCAGATAATGAGTTCAGATCCTGAGTAACACACAGTAACTACTCAGTACATTTGACTGTTGATTACTTTTACATCTCCTGTTCAATTTGAAGGTTCTAGAAGGCAAAAACCAGTCCTGCTTATTTTTTAATATTTTGGTATATAACAGCTCTTAAAAGTACCTAATGCATAGAAGTTCAAAATGTATTTGTTAAATGAAATGAACAGATGATGTAATTAACAAACTTTATATAATATTGGCAAAATGGGTGGGCCAGTTGGTAGATGACCTTGCATGGGAAGTTAGAGTTTTAGATTTGATACAGTAGATTCTAGTAGTGGATGATCTGGGGTGATTTTGTATAGGGTAGTGATATGACAGAAATTAAATTTGAAGTAACTTGTTTTAATCATGGTTGTAGGGAATATCAGTTCCCAAAAAGCTAGAAGTAGAAGGACCACTTTGTTAATATTTTGCTAAGAAGATGAGTAAAACAAGGTGAGGATTTTTGTCTGTTGATTGGCCACTAATCTGTATATTTCTTCAATAAACTCCAAAAAAGGAAATTGTCACATTTATCATTGTCTTTAATCTATTTTAAATAAGTTCATTTCTGAAATAGATGACTTTTTTCAGCCTAGGTAATAGTTATGATCTCCTTATTTTAAAGAACAGCAACCAAAACTTTAACAACTAAGGACAGATACTCTTATTATATGAATTAAAAATATTTATATTAGAATCTTCTAAACTGACACTCAAAATCTGAAAGTTGAAAGACCTATTTGTCTATTCTTATTACAATGCAGAACACTTGGTTTTTCAGTTTTAATCACAGCTAAAGTTAATCAGATGGCTTTTTCTGTAAGTACAATTTTATGATCCAGTATAACATTTGGATATTAAATGAATGAATTCATCAGCATTTGAAAATACCAGTGCATTAAAAAGCATCAAGAGGTTATAACTGCTATGCGTTATCCTTTCTGAGAACTTGTTAGTCCTCTGTTCAAGCCTCACATTTTCTACCATGTGCTAGAAACTCATGGGCGATGGGAGGGGCTCTGGCAGCCCTGGGAACACTGAGGAGGAGATGAGTGCTGAGGTTCTCCAGCTCAGCTGCTCATTAGAAGCACCTGCGAGTTTAAACATCTCTGAATTCTTAAGCCACACCCCAGACCAATGTCAATATATTTAACAGCTTTCCCCATATAGAGTCTGTTATCCAGGCTTGAGAGCCAGCAAATGAGTATTTTCTTTAGCCATGGAATTTTTATATCTGATTTTCTTGATAGAGTATGAAAAAAGATGAAGTCGTTTGCAAAATATATGATGCTAATAATTTTATTTTCAAGAAAAGAAACAAACTTGACTTACCTGCCTTCTGACAATGTACAATCTTTTCATACACAGCGTCTGCATTTTCAATCAAGGCCTTGAGGGACTGGATCATCTGCAAAGGGAACATTCAGACACAGGATTACGCCTGGTGACTAGACACAGGTCTGCACATGTGCATGGGGCTCTTCTCCTGTACATGTGCTGAGGGGACAAGCAAAATGCCCTTTTATTTGACTTCCCACTACTCAATCTCAAAGATGTATGTGAAAAAGAGTAAAGTCATGTATCCCCATGTAATGGTTTAAATAAGACCAAATTATGTTTTGCATGTAGTTAGGCCTGTGCAACACTGAATTTGAACCTTGAGCCAGCACTGAACTGAGTTCATCTCACTGTGAAAAGCTACAAATAAATATATGCATGTATCTGATCTGCATTTTAAATTGCATTTTCAATCATTCATTTTAACAAAATCTTCAGCATAATCTTATAAAAAGCTCTAACACCTACCTACTTTACTCATTTCAGCCAAATGCCTACATCTAAGAATTAGTTTAAAATGTACAAGGATCAAAAAACAGCATTTATTTGAGGCATCACTAATGATATTACTCAAACTAGTATTTTTAATGTTCCTATCAATGATTTTAAAATAACCAATTGTGAATTCTTGTTCCAAACTGCATGTGCTTGTTTTAAGAGTCAAGCCTGAATAAGAAAAAAAGATCAAGGCACAACTAATCAGTTATTTTATTCATCCAAAATGTTAGGAAGAGATCTGCCTGAAGTAATTTTTTGGCTCTAAAATCACTACGAAAATGGGATGGCCTGACAACTCTTGTGTCTCAAATGGGTACAATTAGGATGCTTACCTGCAGTGTAGAGTCTAACTTTTTATATTTAAATGTCCAAATATTTTGCATCATACAAATTACTTAACGATTTTACATGACCATTCTATTTTAAATAACATTCCCCAATCCTTTAAGTTCTGCTTTTTCTTTATAGTGCTTATTACTAACTGCCATAGTAATTATTTTATAGAAACCATATGCAGATTGGATTATTTGTATAGTTCAAAGAACACCATATTTTGACTAGTTACAGTTATTTAAACTATAGAATAATCAACTCGCTTCTTAGGAAGGGCACCAGATTCTTAAAGTGAGTCACTTAGCATTTATCAATTTCCATTGTTCTAATAAAATCATAGTAAACATTGGAAAGTTTGAAGGCCAAAGCAGGGGTTCATGTATGTCTCCATTCATTACTCAGGGACAGTTGGCTACAGGCAGCCCTCGAGTGGGGACTGGGGACACAGTGGCCCACAGGATCAAGCCCCTGTCTTCCACAAGTCTGCGGCCTAGTGGCAGAGCGTGCCCTTCAGAGTTCAGTATTTTCACATTCTTCAAGATCTGAGTCAGTCCTGTAGACTAAAATATTCTATTTTACAGCTTGTCATATAGAACAGACAGTGGTAAAAATGAATAGTTAAGAACTCGATTATATTCGTATGAAGTTTTTTGTACCATTACACAATTTGCATACTGAAAAGGTTCATACCGTCATCAGTAACCTTTTTCAGCTTTGATGTCAAGCCAAATGAGAGATATGAAGAAGCAAGGACTTCAGGCAAGGAAGGTGGTTGTCAACACTCAGTATCAAAGAACTGGCCAACCATGCTTCCATCACTCAAATAAGTAAAAGGAGAAAAAAAACCCAAGTGATGAGATGAACCTCATCATGCAGCAGAAGGGCAGGACAGGGGTGAGCCCAAGAGCAGGGGAGCATGGGGCAGCAGCATTCGCGGGCTCGCAGAGAGACAGCCCCAGCCCGGGGGTGGGGATGGGGGTGGGGGAAGGAGAAGGGGCCAAGCCAGGTCAGAGGAGGGCAAAAAGAGCCCAGACCTATACAGGTTCTAATTCTGCTTCGGCTGTGCATTAACTCTATCATCTAGGACAAGATATACATGTCAGGAAGCCATAATTTCCTACCTGTAAAAGGAGTTTCATAAAAGGTGCTACCCTCCTAAAGTTGTGAGCATTAGATGAAAGGATGCATGCGAAGGGCATGATGAAGATGCGTGCAAACGGAAGGCGTCTCGGTGCACTTCCCATATGTCCAGGGCCTGGCACAGCATAGCCTGACAGCCCCAAATGAGCAGAATGACTGTGCCTTCCTTTCATATGTTCACTGGCAATGTTTCAGACCCTGTTACTAATTTTAGTTTTACTTGAAAAGCCTGGGTGATGAAGCTCAGAGGAATAACAAATCACATTATTATTCTAAGAAGCACCTTTTGGTTTAGCGTTACTGCCAGAGGTTAAATAGTTACACACTTTTCAGCTGTAAAACACACACAAGGCTTAAGAAACACATACCCTCTCAAGGGTCTGGAGAAGGCAGCTCACCTGTCTCCTGTGCTCTGTGCTGCCTGGAGGATCAGTTCTTCCTTCTTGGGGCCAGCACCTCCTGAAGACCCCTAAGTGTGGGGCCCTGAGCTAAGTGATGTGAGTGAATAATGGCTACTGACTGGGGACTATGAGCAAACAGTAACCACAATAAGACGTGGCATTGCCCTTGGAGCCCGTGTGCTATACGGGGTGTGCCAAATCTAAGTGCTCCTCAGCCACACAGGTCAGTAGGATATTTAATGGTGGGGTACTGGCTGTGTCACGCATCCACACTGATGCTCCACTTGTGGCTTGGACTTTAATACAAAGGTTCTTCTCCTGATAATGGGAACAAATCCCACCCCCCGCCCCCCTTACTTATGAACAGTACATCAACTGTGAAGGCAACCAGTACATCAGGGCGAGGGATACAGGGAACAGGCATTCCTGTCAGGTGTGGAAGTAAACAGCAGCAGGTATTTGCAGACCCTATTGTGGGGGGAGTTCTGGAGGGAGCCAGCCTGCAAGGCAGGCATATGATTCATCAGTTATTAAACAGAACAACAAAGCTGGAATAAAACACATTCAGACTTTAGCAGAGATTTTTCACTTTGCCATACCTGTTATTAAATGTTTTCACACTTCCGTTGGGAGGAGGAACTGCCAGTGCATATCTCTCTACAGTTTTAGGGCACATATTTACAGTTACATTCATGTTGGTAAGCAGTTTCTGGTTCTGGCCCACAGTACACATTCATCAATCCTCAATTCTTGCAGTGTTCGTATAAGTTCTCCCTGCATGAAAGAGCCCCTCTGGGTATCCTTCAGGAAGCTCCTGGACTGTGAGCTCCTTACCAGCTCCTGGGTTAGGGGTCCAGCAGGCTGAGAGGGCAGGGCCGGGCAGGAGGCCTTCTGCCTGTCTCCCGGCTGGCTGAGGTCTTGCTTTTTATTCAGCACTAGGCATGGGGGACACACCAGGGACAACATGGGGGTGCCACCAGAGGCAGTAGGGACTGATCTCTCTCTTGGTCTGCTACTTTATAACAAGCTGAGATTAAAAATAGCAAGTGTTGGTTGAATGAATCAAAATGAAAGTAATTCAATGCCTCCTCTGCACTGGTAAGAACTTGGTGTTTTCTATTTCACTTATGCTCGCAAAGTCCACGTGAGGGGGAGATTTATGATGCTAGTTTTAGTTTTACAGGCGTGAATACTGAAAACAGGAATGTTAAGCACTTTTCTCAACATTATATGGTATTTTTGGCAAAGGGATTGTAACTAACCAACCATGGAACCAGTAGTCCATCTGACTCAAAGCCTCTGCTTTTTCCTCAATACCACCATGGGTCTTGACATATGCATAACGATTGTGCGAGAAGGGCACTCCAGCCAGAAAGGTGCACAGAAGCGGAGGGAGCTTAGTAACTCCTGACAGGCACTGTGCACAGAATGGCAGTATCCCCTCTACTGCTGACTCAGAATTGTTTTTTAAAATAATATCTCTAGTAAGTGTTTTGGGAAAACATTATTTCTTAAAAATGACAACAATGAGCAATTTATTTGGCTCCACCTAACAATTCATTATTACACAAGAGAAATCATTTATGTTTTTATGTTTAATGTGAAACTACTAGAACAAGCATTTCAGACTAGACAAAGCAGATGTGTGCGGAGACATCAAGAGATGAGTCAAAGGGAAAAACTGCTTTAAGTTATCATACTTTCTCTGTATATGTTACATCAATAACTCGGTATCACGAAAGGTCCATGGAACAGTTGATTTTATAAACATTCTTTGCATTAACTCAAACACATTGATTGCATCAATGCCCTTTAAATGCATACGTGTAAGTCTTGGCAGAGCAGACATCCTGCTGCCAGCCCCAGTAACTGAGCACACGGATACTCGTGTTATTTATGAAGTACAAGATGCTTTGACATAGTTTTAGCTAATGCATTTTATATTAGTATCCAGTTACCTGTACCTCCTAAATTTCTGGGACTTATGATTAGGAAAAATCTATGGATTTAACATTGCCCAGAAACCCATTTCTTAAATTTGATCAACTGTGATACAATGTTTTAACACACAACTCAAGCAGATGAAAAGAAGGAAGTTTCAACTAAAGGGAAAGTAAAAATTTAAATTCCTATTTTATTAAGCTGGAAAGAAACCAGAAATGCCTTTCATATGAATGCTCTGTTTTGAAAGTAATTCCCCATGTTAGTATAAAGCAAACTCTGTTTATAGATAGAGTTATGAGAAGGACTATTACTATAATAATATATTTTATATTGCCAGATGTCAATGGATTTTTCTTGATTTTCAGTTTTGAAAATTGCATATCAAGTAGAGAAATCTGTTTTCAGAATAAGCAAATCCCTGGTTTTATGGAAGGATCTTATGTCTGATTCTGGACGATACACTGAATCTGCTTTCATCCCAGGGACACAGATTGTGATAATCACAAAAGTAATTTGCCAATAATTTTAAGTCCTTGAATAAAAGATGTTTAGTCACAGTAATAACATTTTCCGTGTTCTAGTTTTTCCCGGCCCCTTGCTCTGCCCTTAATCAGGCCGCAGATGCCCCCTCCTGGGGCCTTCCTTCCCTGTCCCCCTCCCACACGCAGACGCGGCCTTTTGTAGCTGTGGCTAATGGAGCTGGAAGTCTGAGAAGTGCTGACATTGTTATAAAAGAGAATGTCTAGAGAGTGAA